TAAGGGGTGTATGTACTTTGCCTTCACTGTAAATTATGATTTTTTTCACCCTTTGTTTTCAATTGTTTCTCCAATTTCTATGACGAAGAACTGCAAATTGTATTGTTGAAAATCTATGTTTTGTAGTTTGTAATTAAACAAATTTTTGATCATTTTTTCAAATTTATTTGTGTGAAATATCACATATTATTATATGTGAATGGCTTAGAGGAATCTTATTCACATTTACTAGATCAGTGTTAAAGAACCTTTATTATTATTATTAGTTAGATGTGAGATAGGTTTTAAAAACTTTAAATAATTTGTGATCATATTGTGGTGCCCAGCATAACTTGTTAACTGTGATTTGAGTTCAGATCATGAAATTTTCGGTGATATTTATGGATCATTTGAATGTCCATACTGTCATATTTTTTATTAGAACTTTTAAGTTTAATGTTCTAAAGACGAAAAAAAGTCAAAGTCATTTTTCACTGAATGTTCAAATTAAAATTTCTAAAGACAGGAAAGTTAAACCATTAGAGAAAAGCCTTTTTGCCACCCTCCCCTAAAAATGTTGCTACTGTATGTCACCGAGGAGATTATGTAACTAGTAAAAGAAAAAGTTTAACATAATCTTTTATGTATTACAATCTTCTATTGATTTTTACATGGCATCATATAGTGTGTGACAGCTTAATTAAAGTACATATTCTGTACTAGTACCCTATTTCTATACATTTTGTGGTCAACCTGAAAGTTACACTGGATTCTTATTACTCTCATTTCCCCTTCCCTTTGCTATCAGAATCTGAAGTACAGGCCATCCCAATTTGTTTTGATCTGGAGTACAGGCCATCCCAATTTGTTTTGATCCAATCAGAAAAGGTTGGAAATGAAGTTGAAAAAAAAAAACCCTTGGGCAATTGAAACTTATCCTCTGGTTGGTTGATAGAGGAACATAACTTGGCACCAATGTTGAGCTAATCAATGGGATGGCCTGTTCTGAAAGTCTTGATAACATTGTAAGGTGGAACCGCGGAGGTGATTAGGATCTGGTTTTCTTAAGGGGCCTGTTTCACAAAATGATGAAAGTTTTTGTGATTAGCTAAGAATGCTTAACTTGGATAGTGCGGTATGTCATGTCAACCTTGTGATATCAGATATTTATATTTTATGTATATATTTAGAGGCATGAAAAACATTTCCTCAGCATGTCACTGGCATAAAGACGTTTCTGAAAATTTTACACTTCCTATCGAAATGACTCTCAGAACCACAGTAATTTGGCCTTAGCTCTTATTTTTGGGACTGATCACAAGAAGATAATCAGCCTCTTATATTTTTTGTGAAACAATTTGGTTGACTATATGTGATTGTTGGCAATCTTAGCTAAGTCAAATAATCAACCAACGATTCTTTGATATTTGTGAAACAGCCAGGACCATATTGTATTGTACGTGGCATGCTTTAAATTTGTATATATTTACAGCGTTGGAGCAGTATTTGTCTGCTCCCCAACTTTTACGCACCAGGAGATAGTGCAGAATGCACTCAGAAAGGGTTAGTCATCGGATCATTTGCTGTTGAATTTATTTGGAGTAAATTTTAATTAAAAAATAAAGCAAAATAATAATTTAATTTCTAAGAATATGATAACATTATTGATTAGAAGTATTTTTGGTATACTGGGTAGTTGGGACACATTTACATGAGCTTATACTAATTTTCAGAAAAAAAACAAGAGTTGACCAAGAACATATATTGTTAAAGTGTTGAGTGCAACTAGTATTATAGGAAAGATTGAATGGTACCATTGTATGCTAGTTGCTGGATTTATTTATTTATTTACTTTTTTGCACTATTAAATTATCAGTTTTTTGTTTGTTTACCTCTAAGTGATGGTCCAAGAGCTACCCTGACATTATGAAATCTTTCTTCTCTAAATTTATAACAAACGGCTTTGTGAAAAACAGTCATAGTCATTAGCAATATATATATTTTGTATCTGTGTGTGTGGGTTTGTATGTGTGCATTTGACTAGAAACAAACAGGTTTAAGGATATTGTTAGCCTTTGCCAAAAACTCCTTATTTACTGCCTTGCATACATTCTTTTGGATGACAGACAATTTTTTAGTGTTCAGAGACTAAATTAATCAACAATTATACATGTGTCATCTTACAGGGAAATCATAATTGCGATTTTGGAATTGAAAATGGAAAATTGAAAAATCATTTTCTCAAATTTCTCCTCTACCAGAGCATCCATGGACACCATTTTGATGCCAATTTAATGACACCATTAAGTACTCCAAAACCAAGCCAGTGATTTTTTCCAAAAGTTCAGATTTTATCAATGATAAAGCAAAATAATACTTTTGTTTAATAAAAATCTGTAATTAAGGGCTCATAACTCTATAACAAAAGTGCTTAAACCAAAATGATAGCACAGGGTTGTAGCCTATTCATTTGTGGTCAACTATGCCAATTTTCCTAATAAAATCTTGTTCAGGGATAAAG